GGTTGTGTACCTAAATGGTGGAAGTAGGTCACTAAGAACATGCCACTACAAAAAACCAAATAAATAAATAAAGCCAGGTGGTTGTGGCAGTGCAAACCTTTAAACATGCAAAGGCAGGTGGATCTCTGAGTTCCAGGCCAGCCTGGTCTACAAAGTGAGTTCCAGGACAGCCAAGGCTACACAGAGAAACCCTGTCTCATAAAAACAAAACAAAACAACAAAAATGAAAAAAGAACACTGGCTCTGACCTGCAGTCACAGATTCTTGCTTTTGATCATATGAGCAGCTCTTCCTCATAAGCCCAAAGACATAGATGGTGACTCCATTTTCCCTTCTTGCAATGGTGGACTGAAACTCTTGAAACTAAAGTCTAAATACAACTTTCCTCCATTAGTTGTTTATGTCAGGTATTTGGGTCATAGTGGCATGAAAGTAATGAGTACACTCCCTATTTCCCTTTCCTGCTTGTCACCCTTATAATTAATGGACATTTTACTTAATCCTTTTGTGTGTCCCTGACAATTGACTATAGTACTTACAAGGATCAAGATCTTTTGACTTATTACCATCCAACATCTAAGAAGAATGTCTTGCACAAAGTTGGTTATAAATATTTATTAAATGGGTGAAATAACAGATTTCAAGTAAAGGGTAACATTTAAGCACTTTCTGGGATGGAAGAAGGGTATAAAAGTAAAAGACTTGAGTTTTGTTCTCATTACAAATTGGTTGCCTTTGAGTGTAAAGGCAACTCGGCTCCATCATCTAGTCAAGTTACTAGGCAGTTGATGTAGAAATCATATGGGTTATGACAATGCTTCCCAACATCCAGGTATACGGGCCTCCACTAATCAAGATGAGATAAATTGGTGGATTTCAAATCCTCTCCATATTCTGTCTAGTATAGTTAGGACTTTGGATGCATATATATATATATATATATATATATATATATATATATATATATAGCCTCAAGGAGAAGAGTAACTAGTGCTTGGAATATAAATGTTGTGGGCCTGGATGCAGAGTCCAGATCAGTGTCAGTCATTTTACTTCCATATCTCATTTACAGAGCCTTCAAAAGACATTCCATAGATTGTAAAGATATCTTGAACACAAAGCCTGATGTCTGAAAGGGACTCTGAGACACCATTTCTACAGTCCACGAATGAAGAACATGAGGCTCACAGAGCAAAAGAAACTTGATTAAGTTACTACATATATCAGAATGGAGAAATCTTTGCTCTTTTCTTCTAGTCTAATGTTTTATATAGGGTATCCCAACTGAAGTGAACTCCTAAGATAAGCAATAGCATAATATAAGCCAAATGCAGTATAGTGGGTCCAAAGTTTGATTTACAAAGTAAGAATAGTAAGAGATCACTGATTCTTTCAAAAGATCTTGTGGTTTATTGGGGGTAAGTGAAGTTGGGAACTTCAACTGTCAACAAGGCAGAACTACTTTATAACACAAAGGAATTTCATCTCAGCAAAACAAAGGTATAAGGTGTATACAGGTTCATATTAGTTCACAGTTTTGCAGCTCCTTTTAACAAATCAAAGCTAGAACACATTCAATTAATTTTTGTCAGTCCAACTCACTGATAAGTGGTTCTGATACTGCAATTTGCAAAGCAGAAGTTGCATGATCTCTTACGATTTTCTTTTGACAGCTTGAATCAAGTTCATGCAGGCACTCATGAGGTTACCTGGAATTTATGTTTCTTTCTGTCACAGAATGGATAGCTCAAAAACAGGCTTAAGTAAAGGTCTGAATGAAGGGAATTTATTAGGGGTAGTGTTCTTGAGAATATCTGCATGGAATAAAAGAAATATGATTGAGCCCAGCTTGATGGAGATTGACTTTAATCCTAGCAGTCAGGAGGCTGAGAGGCAAAGACAGAAGGATCTGAGTCTGAGGTCATACTGGTCCCCTGGACGGCCAGGCCTACAAAGAGAAACCCCATCTCAAGAAAAGAAAAAAAAAGAAAGAAAAGGAGGGGGGAGAGAATAAAAGAAATAAAAGGAGAGAAAATGAAAGAGGATTGAGTTCAGGGAGAAGTTACAACAAAGGATTCATTAACCAAATGAGAAGTTCTGGGGCTTGGACTGGCCCTTCAGGTGCTCTTCAAACTAACTCAAAGTTAGTTACCTTGTTTTGTTGTTGCTGCAACAAGATATCTGTCAGGGAGCAATTTCTGGGAAAAATGGTTTATTTTGGCTCCTGGTTCAGGGAATAAAGCACATCATAGTGGGGAAGGCATGGCAGCAGAACAGCCCTTATTTGTGCATCGGGGAGTTGCTTGTTCATAGTTCAGAAAACCAAAACCGCAGATAAATGGGTAATGCTGGAAGGCTGGCTTCCTTCCGCTTTTCTTTATATATTCAGTCTGGAATCACATCTCTGGGGATGGCACCTGTTCACATTCAGGATAGGTCTTCATCCCCTCATTTAAGCCTTTCTGGAAAAGCTCTTGTAGACACTCATGTACTGCTTATTAATCCAACCAGATTGACAACGGAAACTATCCACCACAGAAGGACATGAAACTTTGTATTCACACAGGATGCAGTCTGACCCTGTGGAAGAAAACAGCGTGTGGAACATTGAATACAGCAGATCTCTCAGGCTCAGCCTAGGATAATTCTTAGGGAGGGAATTAGTAGCAAATCTTGTAAGGCAGCATTCCAGGTGGCAAAGGGATTAGCATTAAAGTTCTTAGTGGAAGATGTGGGTGGCACACCTTAGCATCCATCCCACCTTTCTTTCTTTGCATCCCACCTCCCACCATTTACTTACACGAACGTCTTCAACTAGTTTCATTCATTTCGTGCCTTACTCTGCACTAGAAAGCCTCTCACAGGGTTCAAAAGAATCATCCACTTTCTCTTTGATTTTTAAATAAACACTTTATTAATGATTAAGGTAGCCGGAAGTGAGGGAGCTAACTAGAAGCTATAAACTTAGAATGATGACACCTTCAACTCTTAGCATGTCCATTTTACAAGTTTCCTTTTATACATATAATGTATGCTCTCTTATATGAGATGTGTCTATACTGACCACCCCCCTCCCGCCACTTCCCTGGAGATTGTTTAGGATCTATCTTTAGGGAAGGCTTTGTACTCAACAAGTAATCTAACTTCCAAAGACTAAGCAATATGTATTTAAAACGTCATTAGAGTTTTTAAAATGCTGAAAATTTTGATAATGTCAGTTCGACTGGAGGATATTATATTCAATGAGATGGGTCAGACACAGAAAGACACATACTGGATTGACTTGTGTATGTGCCAAATTCCAACAATTGAACTAAAGAATTAGAGAGTAGGCTGGTAGTATGTGGGAATGAGGAGGTACTGGTCAAATGATGTGTTGGTTAGCTTTTTATTTTTTTTTTTAACTTGACGAAAGCAAGAGTCATCTAGAAAGAGGGAATATCAGTTAGAAACAAGTTCGAGGCTGCACAAAAGGAGACCACCACTCCAATTGAAGGGTCTGAAGAAGGTAAACTTTACTCTTGATCAAAAAGGCGTGTTTGGAAGAGTGAACACGAAGAAAGACAGGAAGTGCATTTGGCTTTTATTCTCTTTAGGTGATCACGACTGTGTCTTTCCCCCTTTGCTAGGGTCTGACCTTCCAGTCTTTCAAGACTGGCTCCTTTTAAAAGAGTCCACAAAGGAAAGGGCAAGTGATTCCTGGCACAAGCTCATCAAGTTCCTGGAATGCAGTCGGGGCCTTTGTGCAAATAAAGGGTTGACTAGGTGGAGTTGGATTGAAAACATTTGCATAAAAGTCTTACAAGGTGGGAGATCAAAAGATTTGAATTCTTTATCAAAAACACAAGTTTTACAGTGTTTAATAGAAAAAAAAATAATGTCCAGTGTTCCTTAAATGTCTTGAGGAATTCTGTGGGGGGCGTTTGCTTGATTAATGATTAATGTGGGAGGGCCCAATTCACTCAGGGCAGTGCCACCCCCACATAAGTGAGTTGCATTACAAAGCAAGTGGGGTGGGGAGGGGCTCAGCAGTTAAGAGCATTTGTTGCTCCTGAAGAGGGTCTGGGTTTGATTACAAACAAGCACTCACATGGTGATTCCCAGCCATCTGTAATTCCAGATCCAGGGATCCAGTGACTTCTGACCTCCATGGGTACCAAGCATGTACATGGTAAACCTACAAACATGTAGGCAAAACACTCATACACAAAATAAAATGAAATATTTAAAAAAAAAGATTTGTTTTTTGTTGTTGCTTTTAAAGTAAGCTGAGAAAGCCACAAGGAGCAAGGAGCAAGCCATAAGCAGTGGCCCTCCATGATATTTGCTTCTGTTCCTGCCTCCAGGTTCCTGCTAGAGTTCCTGTTCTGACTTCTCTTCATGATGAACTGTGATTGAGTTGAGTAAGCTAAATAAACATTTTCCTTCCCACGTTGCTTTCAGTCATGGTGTTTTCAGCAATAGAACACAAACTAGGACAAAGGGGACAAACTTTCAGCCAGAAAATGAATGAGTTCTAGGATCTAGTGTGCAACATGGTGACTGCCATCCATATTATATTATATGCTTGATATATCCTTGCTACAGAGGACATCCTTTTAGGATGTAGAATAGTTAATGCAGGGTCTTGTTACATAGCCCAGGCTAGGCTAGATCTCACTTACTGCCCACGCTGGTCTCAAATACTCTATCCTCTTGCTTCAGCCACCTGAGGGCTAGAATTATACCTGGGCTATACAGCAAGACTTTGTTCTAATAAATAAAATAAAATAAAATGAAACCAAGATAAGGAATATACCTGAATGATGACACAGATATTCATTTTTTGGAAAAAAGTATACAACAATACCTATTCTTTGGATTTCCTTTTAAATAATATATTTTTGTTTATAAGAAATTTAAAATTATAGTAAAGTGGCTGAAACATCATTAAAATCAATGCCAAGAGATTACCAATACAAAGAGTTCAGGTGAGGACTATTTATTTATTTAGAGACAAGCAGTCATGTAACTCTAACTCATGCTGACCTTGAACTCTAGATCCTCTCATCTCTATCTACCAAGTACTAGGATTACAGATGTGTGCCACTATGGTCATGTAGGCATAAGAATTAAAACAAGATAATATCCTGATTCCTTAACTCAGTTATATAACACAATTTTGGCACATGTGTATAGTATTACAGGTGAGATACTGTCTAGTACAATATAAGGTATGGTCCACAGTAGAAGAATATAACCAAGACTAATCTGAGGACATGATTTACAGAAGCACATTGGGTTTCTCAAATTTAGTTTTAAATGCCTGCTCCTGCACTTACGGTCTGCATGACAAATTGTCAAGTAAATTAATCTAAGTCTTCATTTTCTTACATGTAAGATGGAAATAATAAGATGGACCACATTCAAAAGTCATTAGAAAGTTTACGTAAGATACTTAAAGAATAGAAAAGAGAGTTTATTATAAGGTCTCTTTTCTCCCAATTTTACTATTAGTTGGTTGTTACTGTAAGTTAAGCTCCTAACTCTTCATCTTCTTACCTGTTTTGCCATGTCAAATGATATTTAAAAAGTGCTTTGAAAAGACACTGTATAGCTACATGTGAAGGACCCCTGTTGGGATGTATAATCGGTCTGTAGTTAAAAATCATCTTAAGTTCAGAGCTTGAACCTCTGTATTTGACAGTCTGACCAATTTAGTGCATTGCCTGTGATTTCGTCCATCACGGATTAAGAAATACACAACAAAGCCTTACCAATTAGAAACTACTCTTGTATTAGTTGCCTTTCAAAATGTGTTATCTCTTAAATATATCTTTGCAACAAAGAGAAAAATGTATTAAACTGATTTAAAAACAAACGAAGAACAAATCACCCAAAATGAAGCCATGTCAATTACTGCAGGGGGATCTTCCAGCTTTTAATTTATATGGCTTTCTACATACTTCAGAAAGTAGTAAGCAAGAAAGCCAGGTGAAATTAGTTAATGCTGCTGTTTCCACATACGCCAAAGGTTTCAGTGCTGAGTAACATTATCCCTGCTTTGCAAAGATCCAGGCTGTCCACCACCACTTGAAAATTTCAATATTTTCATTTATTTTATCTTGCATCTATGTTGACACCCAGTAAACTGGCTGCATTGTAATAGTAAAGATGCAATCAGTATTTCATTAACTGAATGATCATGTATCTCTACATGTAGGTGAAGACTGGATTCAGAGTCCAAAGACTAGTGCTCCTGTGTTAGCTCCAATCCTTTTGAATGTGTGGTCTTGGACAATTATTTGATTGTGTGAGACAGGATTTGTGTTTTCTCCCCTCCACACCAATGTGTGTGTGTGTGTGTGTGTGTGTGTGTGTGTGTGTGTGTGTGTGTGTATCCCAGGCTGGCCTTGAATTGGTGATCCTCCTGCCTCAACACCCTGAGTGCTGGGATTATAGTCATATGTCACCATGTCTGGCTTTTTTCCCCTAAGTTTTCAAATAATAGAATGTATGTGAATGCTTTGTAAATTATAGAACACAAAACTTCATGTGCTATCATGATTAATCAGTAAAATTTATCTTACCAGAACCTCAAATGTAGACCTGCTAATGCTTATTGGTTAATATAAGCAAGTGTATGTTTAAATGAAAGTGCAGACAGAAGACAGACTGGCAATTGTACTGTTCCAATTCATTATTCTATGGCATTGAAAATAAGGTCACAGGACTGATGAAACAATGGACAAACTCTAGTGCAGTTTTGGAGCCGGGGTATCTTTGATCATGATACAATACTGGGCTTCAGTGAATTCCCTTAGAGTATTCATTAACAAAATAGCCATTTGTTCTTGAGTACTTCAAGCTAGCAGATGCAGGTTTTAAGCCCAGAGACCCTTTCGTTTGCATTATGTGCTAGGTGAAAAGATGTACAAGCTTTCAGAAGTGTGTGGGATTGCATTCGAGATCGCAATTTCACAAAGCAATGAAACTTATACAGTCTACATTTTATTTGTAGATAGTAATTTACTGACTTGAAAACTGGTACACAAAGGAGACACACAAAGAGGAAAACATGACTAATAATAACACTGCAACAACAAATGAGTGAAGAAAACATAAAACAGACAACTAGATCAAAGTTCAATTTCTGCCAAAGACCTGGGTAGTCCCATTTCTGTTACTCATATTTCTGTAAATTTTTTTTGGGGGGGGCAGTATAAGTATGGGTATAGATAACGAAAATAGAAAGGACATTGCAGGTGGGGAAAAGATTTTTATAAAGGACAGGGGAGAGAATATTATATGACATGAAAGTGGAGACTGAACTACTGTGAGTGAAAGCGGGGGAACAGGAGATGAAGGAGAGGTGTGGGGGAGAAAGGTCAACCCAAATAAAGCATTATGAAAACCATATACTGAAGCCTATCACACTGAAACAAGCAAACAAATAAGCAAAACAAATCGTTGAGTTACTTTACTTGTTAAAAATAAAGATTCTTGGGTCCTATTTCATGACTACTGTATTAGAATCTCAATGGTAAGCTCTGAGATGTTGCTTATTTTATTGTTTTTGAGACTATGGCTTGCTGTGTAACCCAGGCTGGGTTCGAACTCTTGATCCTTTTGTGTCAGCTTCCACAGAGCTGGGATTACAGATGTGTGCCTTCATGTCCAGTCAAAATTCAGCATCTTAACAAGTTCTACAATTGTTCTGATACACACAGATGTTTGAAAATTACTGTCCTAGACATTCATCTCTTTATGGTGAGTACCTATGCATTTTTGAAAGGTATCTATCTTTCCAAGTATTGTTTGGAAGAACAAAGTGACTGCGTATCAAAAACGACAACAAAATTTCCTTGGTAACGTGTGCAATGCAGGGCCCAACCAATACTAGTAAGAAAAACTTTGGTGGTCAAGCACACTTATGAGACTGCAGCTTGTAAAACAGTCTAGAAAGGCCAGGCTTTTCAGTAGCCTGCAGGTGTTCTTACTTCCTTCTGTAACACAGATAAGCTATTATTAGCTTGAAGATACAAAAAAACTACTCAAGTACAATTTCTTTGTTAAGTCACAAAGTCTGAAAGCATGTGCCTTATGTATATAACTCACCGGTACTTTCTCTTGACTGTACCAAAGTTCTGTTTTCAGGAAGTCTTAGGGGTTTCCGGGGCACTTGGCAATGAGGAATCTCCGGTTTAGCCACGTTTGCCAGGCTACGTGTGAGAATCTATCAAGCAGGAAAGACTCCAAAGGGTTAACAAACCAGCCTGCTGCTGACTGGCAGGCAGACAGACCAATAAGGTGTCAAAACCGGCAGTGCGTCTGATGTGGGCGGGTATGGGACAAAGCGTGCGAAAGGACCGTGGAGGCCTAGGGGTGAGAGGGCAGACGGGGTTAGAGATTTGGAGGAGGCGGGGGCCTGGAGAAAGCACGTGTCCGTATCCCCTTCTTCCTGCTCTTTATCCCTTTATCCTTAGGGTTTGACTGCTGCCGAGACAGCCCGGGGCCCTGTGTATGGCCACGGAGTTACAGTGTCCGGACTCCATGCCTTGTCACAACCGGCAAGTAAACTCTACTTCTACCCCAAGTCCCGAGCGTCTGCGAGCAGACGACCCGATCCTGGATCATGCCGAAGAAAATAACGCTGCTATGGCTAAGCTGACTCTGCTCCCCGGGCACGCCCATTCTAGCGTGCTCTCGGAGCGGGACTCTCAGGCCTGCCGTGGCACTAATCTTCACTCTGAGAACCACAGTGACAGTAGTGACAGTGGCAACTACGAAGCACCTGTCGGCGACTCCCTGCTAGGGGACTGTGAACTCTCCCGACAGATCGGGGCACAGCTTAAGCTGCTGCCTATGAATGATCAGATCCGGGAGCTGCAGACTATCATCCGGGACAAGTAAGCCCAGAGCGGAAGGGGGAGAGGGAGTGGAGGGGTGCAGGGTGAAAATAAACAGCCAGTGTTTGGATTTGGCAAACTGGTCTTTGGGGATTCGAGCCAGGCCTCTTTCTTTGGCATGTGAGTAGGAGGGGAGTCAGCTAGACACATCTATAACCCTCTCTTAGTTCTTGTGGTTAACATTGCTTTGTGTAGGAATGAAACCTTGTAGGTAGCCTTCAGCGTCTTCCGGCCTCTTTGTTTCTCTTAAGCAGAACCAATCCTCAACTGTGCCAGGCAGGTACACACCCCTAATGCCATCTGCTCAGTTCCTGACCACGTGGTAAATGTATAACCCAGAAATGGTTACTGCCTATGATTATTATCACCTAGCAGCCCAGGCTCACAGAAATAAAGCAATTTCAAGTGAAATGATATTGTGCTTCTCTGGCCCTCTGACTCATAGCATTTGCTGCTGCAGTGTGCCATTTGTTTACTGTGTGAAGTCCAGGGTTTACCTGGACTTCAGAAAGTTTATCATTCCAATCTGATCAAGATTGTCTTACTGAGAACTTACAGGTCGTAGTTAACAGCAAACGCAGTCTAAGAACATGTTGGACCCTCCTAATCCCACAAATCAGTGTAACAAGAACTTCATGTTAAAATACTTTGGAATGAGTTTTCTCTGAAAAATATGTACCACAATGAAATACAGCTGCTGTCCTTCCTTCTTGTATTCCTTTCTTTTCTTTTTTGAGACAGGGTTTCCCTAAGTTGCTGCTCATAGTCTGGCCTCAAACTCCAAGGCACAAGCCAGTCTCCCAAGTGGGTGGAACTACTGGACATGAGACCATCCCTGGCAGCTTTAAATGAGTAGCTACAGCATATAAGACCACTATCTTCCCAGCGTGCCTTGACATTTTAAAAATGCCCTCACCTAAGTCAGATTTTAGCAACTTTTTCTTCATCCTCTTGGTGTTTCCTCACTGCACTTGTCTTGAGGTGTTCACATTCATGCACCTTTTTAAACACACCAGCCTTGATTTGCTCCCTGCCATCTCAGCAGCCTTCGCTGGCCTATCAGAACCTACCAAAGTCGGGGATATTTGGCCCTTTTGGTTCTGAGGCATTCTTGTTTCTTCTTTCTTTTGGAATGCCCTATATCCCTATTTATGAATGGTCAGGTCCTATTTTTCAAGGCTAAACCCATTCTTTCTGGCTCATTTTCCTGATCTTTTAAAAAAGAAGACTTGTCTTCTATTTTGAATATTATTGTGTATGAATTCCTTTCCTTGCTTATTAGGCTTTATTAAGCTTTTTCTTTTCTTTTTTTCTTTCTTTTTTTTTTTTTTTTTGAGACAGGGTTTCTCTGTGTAGCTTTGCGCCTTTCCTGGAACTCGCTTTGGAGACCAGGCTGGCCTCGAACTCACAGAGATCCACCTGCCTCTGCCTCCCGAGTGCTGGGATTAAAGGCGTGCTCCACCACCACACGGCTTATTATGCGTTATGACAGAAATCATTTTATATTTTTGAATTACAACCATTCCTTGCCAGTAATAGATACTCAAGCATTAAAGATTGTTTCTACCTTTTGTGGATATAGAGTTTTACTATATAGCCTAGTCTGGCCTCAAACGTTTGATCCTCCTGCTTCAGCTTCTTGGATGCTTGAGTTACAGGAGCGCACTACTGTGCCTGGATCTAGCTCTCAAAATTATATTTATGAAACTGTACTATTTGTTTATAAAGAATCAGTATTGAAAACTGTGATCACGTGATCTAATGGCATAGAGGTCTTTAAAAAGATGAGGCATAGGCTTGGTAACAGTTGTTGAGAAATAAAGAAAATATGATGATTCTAATTTTGGTTCTTGGACCCTATTGCCCTTATAGATGAGTTTCGGGGCTTAGGAACTTTCTGGTAAATTGTATTTGTCCGTTATAATGGTTGTTTTAAAAAATAATGTCTTTACTGAAGGACTGGAATTTAGCTCAGTGATAGAACTCTCACATTGTAGACATGAGACCTTGGATTTGATTCCAAGCACTGCAAATAAAAGAAGATCTTTATTGAGATACAATTCATATACAATTGAAGCATTTTAAAGTATACAACTTAGTAGTTTTATATATGTTCATGGCTGTGTTTCATCACCTACCACAATCAGTTTTAGAACATAGTCATGGCCTCAACAAGAGACCTCACAGGTCAATCCACATTTCTCTACCATCTCCTCAATCCCTAGGCAGTAATTAGTTTACTTTATATTTCCAGCCGTTTGCCTATTCTGGGCATTTTTTATTTTTCTTTGTGTGTGTGGTATATATGTGTGTTCATTTTTGTGTGGGTGTAGGTATGCATGCATGTACGTATGTATGTGGAGTGTAGAGAGATGTTGACATCTAGAACCTTCACTTTCACTACCCACCTTATTTTTTGAGACAGTGTCTTTTACTAAACCTGGAGCTCACCGTTTCAGCAAGACTAGTAGCCTAGCAAGCTCCAAGGCTCCTTCCATGTCTATTTCTCCGGTGTTGGGATTAAAGGTATGCACACACCCAGCCTTACATGGGTACTGTGGGGTCTGAATTCAAGCCCTTACGCCAGTGTGCAAGCCCTTTACTAACTGGGCTATCTCCCTAGCCCTTACATTGATTTAACTAATATAAAAACATAAAAGTTTTGCATATCAATGGAGTAGTACATAGTGGTTAAATCAGGTTAAATATGTTTTTCCAAGCACTTGTCAACCTTTTATGGTAAAAGCTTTCTAAATATTTTATTCTTGTGTTTTGAAATGTGCATACATTATTATCTGTACTCCACCTACTATGTAACAGTACAACAAAGCACTTGCTAACTAATTCGTACTCAGTACTCCTTGATCAAACTTTCTACCTCCTTCTCGTCCCCCTTTCTTCCCCAGCCTGTGGTGAAATCCATTTTACTATCAAATTCCCTGAGAACAAGTTTTCAAGACTCCACATATGAGTGAGATCATGGGGTTCTTGCTATTTTGGACAGTTCACATCAAAGAATACAATATGTGGCTGGTTTCTTTTATTGTAATGTTGGCTAATTTCTTTTAGTGTAATGTTTTCAGGGTTCATTCCTATTTGTGGCTGAATGGTACTTCATTGTATAGACCTGCTGCAGTTTGTTTATGTATCCAACGGGTAATGAACATTTGGGTAATTTCCACTCTCTGATTATGATGAATAAGGCCACTGTGAACATTTGCTTATATGCCCTTGTGCAGGGGTAGGGATCTTTAGTTTTCATTACATTTCATAAAGGATCATGATGTAAAGGTTAAAAACCATTAATACAGAGCTTGGAGAGAGTATGACATTCAGCATTTGCATATGATAGTATCTATATGTTTTGATTATATCACATTATTTAGAAAGGCTTGGATTATATAGCAACTTGAGAATAAGTGGAATCCTTTATATTTTTCTTCTGATTTTGAAAAAGGAGACAGTAGAATCCTGTGAAAGGATCTTAGGCAAGATGTTTAACATCTCTGTGTTTCTGCTTTATAATTTATAAAATGAAGATGTTAGTGCAGCCTCATGGAGCTCCTGAGAAGCTAAAACAAGATACTATCCGTGAACACTGTTATAAACTGTGAATCGCTGCGTATATTTACAGCATTTAAATTCTTTGAGTTGGAAATTATGCATGCTTTTTACTGACACAGTATAAGGGATTTGCTTGTACAGAGAATTCAGATTCTTTATTTGAAAATCAATACCAAAGCCAGATCTTGTGGTTCATGCTGCTAATCCCAGCATTCAGGAGGCTGAATGAGAAGGATTGCTGTAGTTGGAGGCTAGTTAGCCTATGGTGATTAGTGAGGAACAAGCCAGCCAGAGCTACCTAGCAAGACCTTCCTCAAAACAAACAAAAATACTGAAAAAGCCTACATAATTTGTATCCCACTTTGACACAGTACAGAAAGACCTACTGTGATTTTTCCCTAATGAGTTGGTGCTTATTATTCAGGCTGGAGACAGTGTTTTTTAGTTTTGTTTCTGTTAACCAGCATAATCTGGTAACAGAAGCTTTCTCTTTCTTTCTTTTTTTAATTGTCTTGCCGTTATGCAAACAAGGCCCATTTCAGGTTCTGTAGGAGCTGACAGAGTGTCTGTTGTAACCCGAGCAATATTCTTGTAGGTCTAGTTATGGAAAGTGCAACCGGTTGTCATAGTCTGTCCTCTTTGAGGCATATGCTTTTCTCTGTTTTCATAGGACAGCATGCATATATATTATGGAGGTGTCTGATACTAGAAGCCCTTGGAGTACATGTTGTTTCTTTTATTGTTCCTGGTTCTTAGAATCTATCTGCTAAGGGAT